GCCTGACGATGAATGACCGAAAACGATCGTTTGCCAACACGACTTTTCAAAAAGGGCCCACACGCTTAAATAACTAAAAGGAAATCCACAGTAAAGGGTTACAAGGTTGACATTATATCTGAACCGAATCGTTGTAAGTTCGAATCGCTTTGGCAAATACGTAATAAACACTCGTTTTTATACTACATGTTATCTTAGGACGCGTCCCAAATCTGTGCCTTATATACCAGTGAGGCTGGTCTGAAGATGCAATCGTTAAGCAAGCCATTAATCTTCCTTTTTCGTAAAAGTTCAGAATTCTTAATCCTTTCACGCCTTTGGTAAAAAACTGATTGCTTCTCTGAAGCGTGCAATGTTTTCTATGTAACTGAATTGGTCAGAGCCGTCATTGTTGAATGCAGTGAGTTGAACTTAAGAGTTGCATAAAATCTCACTTCTTAAACTGAGCCTAGGCTTTCTATCTCCATTCACTGGAGTGCCCAGGTGGACGACTTTTTAATTTTACATGTTTTATTTCAGCTGGAACTAGAGTAAGCCGTAGACTGCAGTACACACTGTCATGTGCGTAATCTAAAGCATGCTGCGATGCAAAAAATCCCCACCCCAATAGCAGAACCCTGGGTGGACTGCTTCTTCAGCTTTCCGTGCACGCTCTTTTGAATAAGACATAAGCAGAATGCCATGCAGGAGACTGCATGCCCACCGTTTGTACTCCCGCAATGCACAGGAGTATGGGAGAATGATCAAAGCAACGCGATCGAATACAAAACTGGCCTGCTGTTAAGTAAGCATGTCACGAAAGTCGCCCAGCGACTACACAGGCATCTTTCTGCGTCGCATGTACAGACTCGCAAGGCTCAACGCTTATCAGATATGTGCGAACTTACGTACGACGGGGTATTTTATTGGCCTGCGCCCTACGTGGGGGGCGGCGTTTCTATTCGCAGTCCCCTCGCCTTTACCTCCAAATGACGTTAGCACTTTTTTCTAATTTCAGTCAGCATAGCGAACAAGAAGGACCTCTACAATCATCTACTAAATCGCGAACGGTACAACAAAATGATTCGGCCTGTAACCAACGATAGTCAAGCTACCGTCGTATATTTGGGTCTGCGGCTTGACCAAGTGGTTGATGTCGTAAGTGATAAGGTTTCGCAGAGGATGCAAATTACGTTGTTTTTCTTTGTTATTTTTATTTGTGCCCGTTTGCCGTTAAAGATGTCCGCCAAGATTGGACTCATCATTTTACGCAGCTTTAAAAAAACATTTTTAAAAATAATATCCAATTCCACGATCGGGAGCGAAATCATCTGCGTTTCAACGAAGACCACTCAGACTTCGTCCTTAACTTTTACAATAAAAATGAAGTTTGCATTCTCACTAAAGACACGGAATAGGACGGATAACAGATATCGTTTTCAGTCTCGGATAGGGGTCTTAGGTGACTGATCTGGAGTGAAATTTGTGAAATAAGGCTTTGCTCAAGACTTATCAGGAATGATGATTTGAAGTCCACAAGGGCCGCATCGACATTTTGCCTGTTTTGCGTCTTTTCATCTTCGTCGCCACTTTAGAATATGTGGTTTAACCCAGAGAATCCGTTTGGGAACATATTTTTTCTGAAGAGCTCCTGTGGTAGGTGCTTTAGAATCACTTGAACGCCAGCATGCTACAGCGAGATTCACCTGGAGGTAAGAACGTGTATATAAAACTTCAAATTATGCTGCCAAACTAAAAAAAACTGGATTGAGAGAGACAGAGAAAAGGTGGGGGGCTAAACAGTGATACGATTTTATCTATACCACTTTAACACTAATTTTCCATTTAATGCGTCAGATGCGCACTCAAATTATAGTATATTGCTTAAATTTGCGAAAATTCCGATTGAACAGTCCAGAAGGTAAATTGACCAACACATGTTTGTTTTCGATAAATTCTCGTCAGGCCTTTACATTTATGTCGTTATTAACTAAATAAAGTATGCGGGTTGGTAGAAACATCGTGCGGTTGTCTTGGTAGGTGGGGGGATGGGTATTTGGGGTCGCCATCAGTCTACGCCGACTGGCCCTGTGCGCCCAAAAGAACTTCGTAATGGCGGCGGAGTCACCATGGCCGAGAGTCGATACTCCAACAGCCCGTAGATTATCATATATCTTGGCTACTGGTCCCCCCTAACGCTGATCAGAATTTTGACCCAAATTACCCCCCCCCACACACATGCCCTGAAAAACGCACCATTTTTTCTACCAATCCACATAGCTATTTAGTTAATTACGATATAAATGTACAGGCCTGACGACAATGTGTCGAAAACAAACGTATGTTCGCCAATTTATCCTCTGAAATTGCTTAAAGTCAGGCTTCAGAAAGCTACCCATCGACATAGTAACTGAATGCATATCCGGAACGACTCTTAGATCGCAATACTTCGGTTTTGCTGTCATGATTGTGAAAACGCTTGAAAATCAATTTTCCCTACTGCTGGGCTTGTTTTTGGTTAGGGACCGACGCGTGCGTGGCACGCATGTACAGTGCATTTTGTCGTATCGAGCAATGCACCAACATGAATCCGCAATCATCTTGAATTCATCTTGTTATTTAAACAATTACGGGCGTGTAATAAGAGAAACGTCTTTCTCTTTATAAACGAATTCACACGTAGAATTCCCCTATGTCCTCGGCACATTGGTGATTCTCATTCATTGGTAATGATGGATTACAGATTCCCGGGGTAAATTAGAGGTTGATATCATAACAGCGGTACTCAAAGATTTCTAGAGAATAATACCCGGTGTCTATGTGTTGCACAAGCCACACCAATGTTTTGTCCTTGCGAGAAATTCCACCATTATTTTGCTGTTTATTAAGTCTAAAGCCTAAAGTGATGGTTGTTTGAATTAAGAGTTCAAAATACATACCTATCCCATCCCCGATGAATAAGACCGAATATCAAGAACCCAATATGTTTATGAGATGTATGAGTATTTTGAATCAAGAAATGTACACCGGAACATTCCCTAGAACACAAGGAATTGCGCTTAGGTCGTTTGACCTCCCGAACTCTAGAGGTGAGAGATTTATTAATCAAGGATTACTGATCCTTGCGTTATTGTTGTGACTAAGATTATGCATGTTTTCCTGTCATTGGTCCAACGTGTGGGTTTACTCTTTTATCGGCAGGATGAACGGAAGGAAGTGATCACCACAAAGGTCTGGGTCGAGCAGGAGTGGACTGATAGCAAATTTACCTGGAATCCCGATGACTATGGAGGTGTTCGTATGCTCCATGTGCCCGCAGAGGAGATTTGGAAGCCCGATATCGTACTTTACAACAAGTAGGTGTCTCATTCATAAATTCTTATAGGCCAGATTACATTAAGCATTACACCATACGTGATTGACTGCAGCATAAACGTTGGTGATAACTATCCGTTTGGATCCCTAAACAGGACAGGGGAATATGAAAGGCCTGCCAATGTAAGAAAGTTGGCTGTGCGCACAATGCTAGGAAGCGTAAATATTCCCCTGTCCTACCCTTTATACTAGCCTTATCACAAACAAAAATCTATAGCCCTAATGTTATCTTTAATCCTACCTTAAACCCTAACCCTACGGTTTACATCAACGGTTTACACCTACACATAAACTTAATTCCAACGTACATTCACGCTAACCTTAAAACCTGACTCTAAGTTTAGCCGGTACCCTGAAACTAACAATATTCTAGTCTCCATGGCCGATGGCGTCCCAACAACGCATGTGCTGCTTGAGGGGGCATAAAAACCATTCTCACCGAAATTTTTTCTAAAAAATGTGACTAGACATACCTTTTTATTTCCTAAGAATACATCCATAACACTGCTAGCGAGCAATTTATGATTACCCGGATTACATGCTATACCACATCGGAAGCATAAGTATTGCTTAAAAACCCAGACAGGTACTTCACCGATATACTAACATCGAATGACACAGTGTTCACCGTATACCTTCAAATGGGTACTTCAGTTTAGTAGGCATTGCTTTTTGGTTTCCTCAGGAATCCGTTGCATACGTGGAGTAAATCAGTCTGCACTGAGGCGCAGAGAGGCAGACCAAAAAATTAATATGTATATTTTTGTGCTGACGTCCATGAATTATAGTGGGGTAACTCCGTAATCTTCAGTAAACTTCTAATTGACAGTCAAGAGAATTTACTGTGGTCCTAAGATACACCATACTGACAGCACAAGCACTAGGCAAAACCTAGAAACGTGTTTCGCTGACTTCGGCCTCAAATATTCATGTCAACTTTCTGTCGACGCCTATAAACCTTTGTTCAGACTAATTCGCTCCACGTTATCGAGGAATTTATGAGGGCATTAAAAAGCAACAAGTTATGATTAAATGAAAAGCAAGGATTATATAGGACACTATCTGCTTAGCCCTGCTTAACAGGTTTGATGATTTATTCCCTTTTTTTAGACGTTAGGTGCAGGTAAAGGAACACTCAAACTGAACAGGTGTTCCCAACCTGAGGGCTAAAAACGTCAAATTTTGCAGTGTTCTAGTCATAAAACTGACACCAAAACCTAACCTTAATCTCGCTATTTAAAGTACTGCAAGGTAACTTGTATTACAGGGAAGTTTCTATTCCTGTCTATGGAACAAGCAGGTCGACTCAATCAAATTTAACCCAGTAAAGCTGAACATAATTTAGTCTATTACGCTGTAGTCCCAGCCTATAGGTCACAGTGACTCTTCCATACACGTTAGTAAAGGATAGATGGGACCATATTCGATTGATACACAATCGAACCTCCGGGCATCCCTAGCTCGAGAGCGCTCGGTGCCGGGTCAACCAGAAATGGTCACTTCAACCATACTTTTCTTACCCGGTAGTTCATTTGGATTATTAATTATCCAGATCTGTTAAACGGCTTCCACTATCGCCGCGCTGGACCTCCGAAACACAGGTAAATTACTGTATTCTGTCTATAAATCAGTCCAAACTGCCGAGGGTAACAATTGCGGTGGCATCTGACACAGACAACCCCTAAGGGAAACCCTAATTAACTATGCCCGAGATCGGTGGAAGTGTGGGTGGCGATAGCATATAAGTCGCAAAATATAACTGCTTAAACGTTCGCGTGCGGTGCCATTATAGGTGTGAATTAGGATAACTGTTATTTTTACTTCATAACTTTGCACTCTGTCCTTTCACAAAACATATATATGGTCGTTTGAAGCTTTACTATACGCACGACGTCAGAAAGCGTACTCCATTTTAATTCCTTATTTTCACGTGACTAGAAGCTTTCTCCTGAAATAATATTGTGCTTGTGACAATTTTGTCACACCCAACAGTGCTGATGGGAAGTACGAGATCACGACCCTGACCAAGGCCCAGGTCTTCTACGACGGCTTAGTGCGTTGGATGCCGCCAGCGCTCTACCTCACATCCTGCAGGATCAATGTGGAATTCTTTCCGTATGACGAACAGGAATGTTCCATGCGCTTTGGCTCATGGACCTACGATGGTAGCAAAGGTACTCTGTCTACTGCTTTTACGGAGCCAGTGGGTATATGGGATACACGTCAAAACAAATTAAAAAAATTGATTTAGGAAACGGTTTTTATAACAATGCTAGAGTTAAATAACCGTTCACTTAGCTGGTGTTTTACATCTCTAAGACATCTGACTTTTTTTCTGAGCCATTTCTCTGAATTCGTGTGCGAATAAGAGCTGAATTGATTAAAAGAAATGTATCGTAGAATCAGCCATATGTTCGGTTAAATATTCCATTGTTACGTTTTTTGTATAACCCACATATAAGATAATGAGTCTGGGTAAGATCGTTGGTAATACCAAACAGTAAACAGTCAAATAAGGTTCAGAATTAGGGATATCTTGTAAGGTGATATGTAATATGAAACACAACTGTTTTATAAAAAAAGTAATTTAACGACTCAGTAGGATATATTCTACTGACTGAGTATGGATCTATATTAGATCCAACGCTGAGAACATTTTACCTCCCTGATTATAAGGTTTCATAATGTGTAAAAATGGAAATTCATTCACATATCAGGTTGCCAAAAGAAATCTGACTTTGACGATCGTTTCTTACCTTGATTTTCATGTTTCTCACCATTGGAAGCGCAAACCTACGTTTCAAACAAAATTTGCAAATGTGTTTCACCCAGTACACCAAACCATCAATTCGAACTTAAAAGACACGAGAATAGGGAACCCCGAAGTTACAACATTAGCAATGTGCTAAATTACGGGGAGATTAGGGTAAGGGTTAAGCTAGTTTTAGGATTGAGGCTAAGTTATTTTTAGGGTTTCGGTAAGGTTTACTTTTAGTTGTCGACTTCAATGATACGATTTATAAGTTTTCCTTGTATTTTGCGGAAGTCCATCCGTGTTCCTCGAAACACTCTTATTTCCGATGCGTACGGAAACTTGATTTAACTTTAAGTTTTTGCTGTTTTTTGTCCCCTTGTTTTATGTGGGTCACTCAAAGCGTGGGCCGAATAACAACACAGCTCCCTTATTAGGAGGCAATATAGTAAAGCTGCCATTTTAAGGCTATTTTATTTTATCGTACAACGTAAGCCTGCTGTACCCTTTCCATAAATATAATATCTTACGCAATAAGCCAGTGGCCTGAAAAATATTGTGATGATCATTGTAAAATAAGAAAAAAAATACTTCACAGCCAATAGTTTGGGAGGACAGATAAGTAAGAAACTCAACTCAACTTCAACTCAAACTCGTACTGTCTGTCGGAAGACTAATAATTACCGATTAATCAGACTAAAATTGGGCAAGGAGTGGTATGATAAACCTGCCACTGTCATTCTTTCTGATGATGATACTGCAACCTTTATGCTAACCTCTTCTTGAGCTGCTTATTTAAGTGACTAAGTATATTTCATTGGCTTCTCTCGACAGTTACATGGTAAGGTTAGAATTGATGGTTTTACTGGCATGGCTGGCGACTGTCCGCGTACTTGCTTGCTCTCTGCCAACTTCGTGGCGCCAAACTCGGCTAGGATACTGAGTACATGTTTGAAAGGTAACTACCGAAGCCATTTATTCAGAAAAAAATCGGTCGAGTTTTTTTATGAAAGTAAGAGGTTGAGTGAATTTTATTGATTTTTGACAAGAAATATGGACGGTGGGAGAGAAGGGTGTTTGTAGCACTCAGGCCCCACTCATCAAAGATTAGACACAAGATTCAAAGCACACCAGGGACTTCATATATGTTTCTATTTGCCTCTAAGTAGAAGATGAATCCATTAGCAAGAAAAGTGAAAAGTGTCGTTTTCTACCTAGTGTGAGAAGTTTTTTTTACCTTAACCTATTTTAATGGAATTTTGACAGCCTAAAGGTTTAGAATTTCGACATAATTCCAAGAGTTAGACTAAGGCGGATTGTTTCAGTAGCTGCAATCTTTAAAAATAGACACAATATGTTTTTGTGAGTCAGTGTTCCTTTATTATTGCTAAACTCTTTTGAAGACAACCTTTCCAAAATTTCATATAATACTTTGTGCTTAATTCAAATGTAGCAATTTCTGTGGTAACTGACAAGGACAGAGTTGTTTTTGATGGAAGGTTCTAGCTACTTTACAGTTATTATTCAATATGGTCCAACTACTGATCATTGAACCTGAGCTTTGACTCTTAAGTCAAACGGTCACTGGACATTTAAATTCAGGTGCTCCACCATTTTAAACACCGGCTTGTATCCTTTTGAATCCTGCTGCTATTTTGACTTAGCACATTGCATCCACTCGCATGAGCTCGAGCAGTAAAGTCTGGAACAAACTGCAGTAACCACGCTACTTTCTACAAGTAAATGGGTAAAGGTCTCCTTCCTAGTGATCTAGAATATTGCAAGCATTGCTACGAAAGTTCAGCAGGTGTGGGTTACTGAGCGAGACTATAAAAAGCGAGCTCACCCAATATATTTCCAACGGCCGCTCTATTGAGCTCTTTTTCAAAATTCAAAATCCCGCTAAAGCAGTGGCGTAAACTGAAGGGATTTCTACCGGTAACACATTTATCCTAAATGGCGGCCTTTTGAAGCTGTAATTGACGCTTTGCTAACGTTCAAAATTCTGCAACCTGTAGAGTGGTTGCAAACATACATACATATATATTTATATAATTAGACATGTAGGAACGAATTAGCAACAAAAACTGGAGAGACTGGAATAGCCAGTCCTGGCTTATTACCTGTCATCAGTCAGCCATAGCCAAAGCCATGGTTGCAACCCCCGATGTTTGAACCCGAAACCTTGTTACTTAGAAGTTAAACGCTCAAAGCACTACACCATAGACTAGTTACGTTGCCGGTTTTGATCGCTCACGGATGGCCGGCAGACGCTCACGGACCGGTTAGGGAACTTACTCGTCCCGTTGCATCTTGTATTCACTCTCTAATCCCGACAGCAGACGCTCAATGGCTAGCATATAATAGGCAGAAATACATTATTAACAGAGACAAGAGAGACTGGAATGGCCAATTTTGGCTTATTAGCTGTCATCGGCCAGCCATACCTGACCGCAATGTTATGTACGAACAGTAAACGCCGTTGATCATGCAATATTTCGACATATGCGAAAGACTAATACACTTTCACTAACCTGAATTGACTCCAGTTGTGATATTGATTATCGTGTAGTGTATTCTGAAGTCGTTTCAGTCAGGATAGGAAGCTGGCTTTTTAAGGACCTTCGCTCCGACTTCTAGCAAAACGTATCTATTGTAAAAACGAACTACTTCTGTAGTATGATTTATCATTGATTTTGACTGCCTTTATAAATTCAAACATATTTTATGGAAAATATAGATGAAAAAATTATTTCTTGTACATGTTTGATAGCAAATTACGCCGTCTTTAAATTTTATACTTAAAGGAAGGGTAGGTTTCGGGTTTAAAAAATTGCTAGCTATGAGCTTTTCTACAGCTGTGAGGCGTTTTTTTCATAAAACATCGTATCTGTCAGTTTATTAACGCTATCTTAACTGCATAAAATATGTTCCATATCTATAACG